CAGTGGTTTTTTCTTTAAATTTTTCTTTATTTTTTAGTGTATTTAGTACAGGCTCTACAGGGTCTCACCACACAGATCAGACTCGTAATGATCCTGCCTGCTTTTCAGCCTTCCAAGTGCTGGGATTACAGGTGTACGCCATCATGCCCCAGTCTCCATTGCCATCTCAGTGTGCCCTGGGGGCAGGGTGGGCAGGGCAGGCCAGGATCAAACCCCTGGCCTCTGTGGCTGCCTAAGTAGGTGCTTTAATCCACTTAGCTATCTGACCAGTCCTAGTCCTTATTGATTTTGTTTTTTTTTTAAATTTCTTTTTTTTTTGGTGGAACCAGGGATTGAACTCAGACCCTTGTTGTTGCCAGGCAAGCGCTTATTCTACTGAGCCATCTCCCTGGCCCTTTTTTGATTTCTATTTTGTTTCTTGTTTTACATTCCTAAGGTTAACTGTTGTCTTCCATTTTCAATATTGTACTTTTATTTTATAGTCAATTATCATTCTTGAATTCTATATATTAAATAAGCTATTACATTAGCTTTATCTTTTTGTCCAGATTTAAATTTTATTAATTTGGTTTTAAAACTACAATTTTCTCATATTTTTACTACCTTAGATTTCCAAGAGTTCAATTTTTGTTATTAAGTATTTATTTTTCTACCTTATTACTATTCTTAAAAAGCTGGAACAAATTTGTTGGCTATTCCAACAACAGTCATGTAGTAGAGGTTTGCTTTACAGTTGGCATTTTAGGATTTCACCCATTAATTCAATCCTTTAAACAAAAAAGGTCCTGGTCCTGATACTGTTGTACAGTCTTTTTACCCTTTCCAATGGCCTGAGACATTCCTTGGAGATTCTTGCAGGGATTTTATTGTTCATTTAGGCAATGGTCAGTTGTAATTTATGCTGTTGGGATTCTTATAGGTCTACCGTTTATAAAGGTATCACATCCAAGCGATTTTACAGCTGATTGTTATGAGGTCTTTAACATTTGTGACATTTGAAAAAGGTGGCATGGTACTTTACAAATATGTCAGCAAAAATCTTTTTCTATGCCGTCCGTAAAAAATGAACCCTAATCCCCCTCTAGATAGGTGCCAAGTTGAAGCAGCTTGCTTGTACTGAACAAGATGTGGCAGTCTTTTTACTACGTTATTGGTAGTACTTTTTACTACCGTAATGGTAGTACTGACTTCTAAAGGCTTTGTCAAAAATGTGCTGAGGCTTGCTCCACTCTTTTTCTGATTTCCCTGTTTTTGAGTGACAACAGCTGCCACTTTTAGAAGATGGTGGTCTTCACCAGAATACAGCGCGTGCTTCTGTGTTGACACCTCAGAACAGGCCCTGAGCCACCCCTTAGCCATTCTGCTTCTCATTCACAGCCAGCAGAAGTGGTAAAGGTTTTATGTTCATGGATTTAAGATAGTCAGTTTTGGAATAATGTGTTACACAGGAAAATAGAACTGAAATGGAGATTTCTATATTTAATTTTATTATGAAACTACCATAATCTTGGTGACAAAATTTGATGATAGTAAACCCAAAAGAGAAACAATCATAGACTATTTTATGTATGCATAGAAATAGAAAAAGAAAATCCATGTAAAATATAACCAGAATTTACCCAGCAATTATTTAAATTAATAATACAACATGAACAAGTAAGATATGACACAGAAATGCACATATGAAAGATTATTAGGCAATTCATGATGCATCACTACCTCTGGCTAAAGAAGCAAAAGGCCATGATTCTGTCAGATGCCTCCCCAAAATGACTGAATGAAATTCATAAAAAATTTCTTACAAAAATTTTAAAACAGACGTGGAAGACAACTTGACCAACAAAATACTGAATATATACACACTAAATTACAAAGTGCAAAAACCATTCCTATGGAAACAAGGAAAATGCAGACAACCATGACTGCTAGCTTTTCGAATATGGCACCTTGTTTATACTGCAGTTAACGGAATAAAAGCAACTAGCAATTAGTTACTGGAAAGAAGAAAAACATTTTCATTTGCAAATATTAACATCTGCGATAAAAATCAAGGTAATATATTAGGTATTGATCAGAATTAATAGAATTTGGTACAGTTAGCTAGATACAAAATGCAAGTTAAAAATTAACTGTTCAAGTATTGTCACGTTTGCAGAATTTCAAAGTGCATTAGTCCCATGCCAAATACACAAACTTATGAAAATCAATATTGTTTATGGTATTAGTTATAGAAACTTGTCTAGAATTTCTTTTCTTCTTTTTTTTAATGTATTTGGTACAGGGTCTCACTATGCAGCTCAAATTGGTAGTGTTACTTGTTTTCAGCCTCCCCAGCGCTGGGATTACAGGCACATGCCACCATGGCCCGCACTCTGCCACTGGCTCAGCGCACCTGGGGCTAGGGCCGGCCCTGCATTCAGTCCTGGGGATCGAACCCCGTTGTCTAGATTCTTGTTTGGTTCTTTTTTCAGCTCTGATCTTTGCAGTTTTTCAGTCTGTCTATATTCTTTTTATGTTTTTGCAGACATTAGAGTTATTTTAAGTCAATTTTGTCTTTTATTCCTTGTTTCCATTGTCAATTGATCATTTGTTTCACTATTTTTGTTCAATTTTTATAAATACATGTTCTCAGTATATGATGACATCACATGGGAGGAGTTGGTACATGAATATCATAAGTCTCTTTTATTCCATTCCCCTCCCTTCCTTTCCACCCGCATTTTCCCCTCCCCTCCCTTCATCTTTTCTTCCTATTATTTCTTTTATTTTGCTCTTTATTTACATTTTAGATTTCTCCTATAAGAGAAACCATATAATGTTTATGCTTGTGTGTCTCATTCATTTTACTTAAGGGTCTTGTGAACTATTCATTTTCCTACAAATGACTCAGATTTATCCTTCTTGATGACAGAATTGTACTTCCTTGTGTGCAATTTCTGTATTCATATATTGCAGGACATACAGGCTGCCTCCAAGGTTTGTCTATTGTGAACTGTGCTGCAGTAGACACGGGCATGCACGCACCGCTGTGACATGATAATGTGTAATACACACTCCTCAGCAAGATTCTTAGGATGGAAACAGCTGGGTTACATGGAAGTTTAGTTTTTTGAGAGAGGTATGTATATTAAATTTCATAATGGTTGTATTAGTTTATTTTCTCACCAATAATGGAAAACATTTCTCCTTCCCAGACCCACTAGCATTTTATTTCTTGATGACAGTCACTATATGGAGTAAAAGGAATCTCAACGTTGTTGACATTTGTATTTTCTCTCAAATGCTCTTTATGGTCATACTTTGTTTCTTGGGAGTGTGTACTGGCTTTTTTTTTTGTTTTTAAAATTCTCTCTGGGGATTTGTGAGATTTTAAATTGAAGGCCACAAAAAGACCATGAACTAACTTTATCAAAGAGTGTAACAGAAGACTTGCAAGGGTCTCAAAGAGTGCTTCCCTTTCCCTCTCCCTCCACGCCTTGTGGATAGAAAATACCTATTTCTCCCTTCCCCCTTTGCCTAAGAGGCACTTGCTTGGAAATCGGCTCAGCTGTAAAGTAAGCAGTGAAGAAAGCTTTTGGCATTTCAGGGAAATCTAACAGTTTTTAGCCAATTTTTAATATCACACATGAAGCGAGGAGCTGCAAATTCTGAATGACACTTGCAGCTCACAATGGTTAGGTAGTTTGCGAGAGTTACACAGAACTTATGAGCCCAGTGGAGTGGACAACTTCTGATTAGCTATTTGCTTTATTTTACAGATATTTTCTATGAGGGAACGATTAAAGACTGGTGACAACTTTTAAGACATCGACCAAAAAAAAAAAAAAAAAAAATCTCTTGGAGCTAAGGAATTACAAGTCATTGATAGCATGCAGAGCATTTAAAGTGCCTTTCGGGGCAGGTGTAAACACAGCTTACTTGGAGCTAGTGTAATTCATAATGGCCTTGGTCTCCTCCAACAAGACGTCCTTGGCCAGCTCACCCGGCGGCAGCAGCCATCTGTATCTCCCGAGACCTGATGGTTGAGCGCTTGTTGTAGTGCACCAGGCGCCATGCCGTGCCAGGGACGCACTTGAAAATGTTCACGAAGTTCTTGATGTCCAAGGCCTTGGACGAAACGCCTGTTTCGGGGTGCACCTGCTTGAGTACAGTACACAAGAAAATGGATTCGCTTCCCTTGTGACTGCGCTTGCGCTTCTTACTGTCCTCCTGAGCCTTGGTCTACCTTCTTCGTCTTTCTTCCAGGCCGTGTCAACCTAGATGGGTTCAGGCACTTTAGCAACTGAAAAAAACCAAAAAAATCACTCTAAAAGTTATACTTGGTGAAATCGTCCCCCCACTAGCTAGGTTACATTCATTTATAGATGTGGTATTCAAATAAGGTCAGTAAAATTCATCTGATTGGATTAACTTTAGTATGTCGTCACAAATGCGAATGTAAACGACATCTAAAGGTCTACTTTTTCATTGGCTACTTTATTTCACTTCGGTCCAATCAGAAAGCTCTAACTGGGCTCCCCAAACCTGCTATAAATAAACCTCTCCAAGCAATAGCACTTTAGTTCTCAAACGCACAGGGTATGTTGAATGGTTGTAGTCTATAAAACGCCCATCTGAAAACGTTCAGTTCTCGATTTCAAGTTCAAAAGCACTTGATGGATGCAAAGTCTGGTTCTTCCCTTAATATTTCTAACTAAAATTACAGAAATCTTACTCTTAATAGAATTCAAATGCAGTTTGCAGCATTCCCCAAAACCAAAACATGGTCGTGTGGAAATTCCACGTAGAAACGCGAACCATAACCGTGATGAGCGCACTTTAACGCGCGCGGGTTTCCCTCAGACTGCGAAACTTTAACGACCTTGTTTTGCGCTCCCGAGGCGAACTGTAAACTCGCGCCGCCCTCTAGCCACCCCTCACTACCGCTTGCGCAAGTGGCCACACCCCTCAAAGTGCAACAGCTCTTTTCATGGAATTTGTGGGTGGCTCTGAAAAGAGCCTTTGGGTTGTGTGGAACTTCGGAGCAGCTGGCCAAAGGAACTTCCTATTTCTTTTTGGCTGCCGCCTTCTTGGGCTTGGCAGTTTTCGGCTTGGCAGTCTTCGGCTTTGCAGCCTTGGGCTTCACCGCCTTGGCCTTTGCTGGGCTCTTGGGCGCCTTCTTGGGCTTTGCCGCTTTCGCTTTCTTGGGGCTCTTTGCCTTTTTGGCGCCAGCAGCCGCGGCGGGCTTCTTGGCCTTCTTGGGGGTCTTCTTGGCGCTCTTCTTGGGCGCGGCGGCCCCCGCAGCCTTCTTCGGCTTCTTGGCTGCCCCCGCGGGCTTCTTGGGCTTGGCCGCGCCCGCCTTCTTGGCCTTGGGCTTGGCCTCCCCGGAAGCCGCCTTCTTGTTGAGCTTGAACGAGCCGGAGGCGCCGGTGCCCTTGGTCTGCACCAGGGTGCCCTTGCTCACCAGGCTCTTCAGCCCCAGCTTGATGCGGCTGTTGTTCTTCTCCACGTCGTAGCCGGCGGCCGCCAGCGCCTTCTTGAGCGCGGCTAGCGACACCCCGCTGCGCTCTTTGGAGGCGGCCACAGCCTTGGTGATGAGCTCGGACACCGGGGGCCCGGTCGCCTTGCGCTTTGCAGCACCTGCTGGCTTCCGTGCTTTCTTCTTTACCGGCGTCTTCTCGGCTGGGGCCGGGGCGGCTGGGGCAGCAGGCGCGGTCTCGGACATGCTGAAGGCGGCGTGGGGAAAGAACTCGAGCCGGAAGCACAGGCACTGGCCGGGACTCGGCCGCGGCGCTGCGCCCGCCCGCTTATATAGGGCGGAGCTGCACCGTGATTGGTGCGCTGTCCAGCCCGCCTCGCTGGCAGCCGCAGAGTGTCCTCTCCGATCCCGAGTTGTGTTTGTTACACCTCAAAAAAAGCCAAAAATATCAAAATTCTGTACATTGAATTGTCTGATTTTTCTCAGATAATGATCCATGAAGCCTCAGGCTTCATACAGACCAGAAATAATGAGGAAAGCTCTGAACCTTTTGCCAAAAACTAGTAATATTTCCTGCCGTGCTCAGCAAATTTCAACTCAGAGAAACAAAACTTTCTATTTTCTTCGTAAATTATAAACCGATCTTTAAGTGTAGAGTTTTGTGACCTCCTCAATATGATTCTCCAAGTGGTTAGCTTCTATTATATCCAAAAAGCATGCCACTGGCACTAAGATTTTTATTACAAATCTGCACTTAAGTGAGGGAAGTAACACAAACTCCTCAGAGAGTCCTGCCTATTGAGCCGAGGGCATTTGAGTTCATCAAACTGGTTTAGTTTAATGCCACACAAATTAATGCCCACTTGAGGTTAAATTTTGGACCCCTGAGACATCAGTCTATGCAACCATGGTTACTTTTGCAATACCTGAGTTTTAAAACAATTCCTTAGGAAAATTCTTTTTCTTTCTGCTCCCAAAGGGTTGGGGGCGGGGCTGTTGCTTCTTTTTCCCCTGGACTACTGTTCCATGGGTTGAGGTACCTGAAATTCAACATATTTGGGAAGTAAGAGAATTCCAAAGCATACCCAGGGTTCAGAGATGAAAAAGAACATTTTCAAATAACACATATAGTGTCCATAAAGTCCCTGGAAGCAGAGGTACACTTTGGTTTGAAGAATTTATCCACAGTGTTTCTTAAGGTTTTTTGGCATGTGTTTCAGGATAAAATTATAATATGCAAGTTAGAACTGGAACTGAAGCATTGATCATGAGAGAAAAAGAAATGAGAACTGTGGATTGGAACATTACTACTCCTATTGTTATAGAAACTCAGACCTCGTTATTATTGAATAGTTGGCGAATGACTAATCTACTCACCATACGTAGTTTCAATCTCCATGAAGATTATGGCCTAATGCTTCCCAGTGCGCCTTCAAAAAGAAAATAAGTAATGTAGGAAGCCCTTTTTGGTCCTCGTATTGGTCCGGAAAGTTTATATTTGTAATCCCATGGATAAGTTATTGGGATCCTATCAAGTTAATTCCAATTTACCATTTCCAATGCACCTCACAGAGAGAATAAGGACACTTAAGGCATATTTATAGTTATGGAGAGCCAAGGGGTCTTAAGTCCAGCCATGGTGATGACCATCTGGAACAAAAGCCTCCATCCCAGGGCTGCACCCAGGTTTTATTCAGTCTTGAAGGAGGCGTGGCTTGAGGATGAATGACTGAGAATTGCAGAAAGTAGGTGAGTATTGTGAGCTGGGCTAGGTAAGAGGCCAGCTTTTACCTCTGAGCAATGCAGAGAGAAGGACATGCAGAAAAGTAATTTGTGTTATGGTTTTGAGGTAGTATCTAATGTTTTGGGGTCTAGTGCTTCAGCTCTGATGTGTAATCTTTCAAGCTCCAGGAAATCATAGCCTCTATCTTGAGGCTTGATCCCAGCAGACAGCCTGGAGCACTGGCTCTTCATCCTTTTTCAACCAGGCTCATGTTAAAGAGCAGCAGGTTTGGGTTATCAGGGAAACACACATGCTGTCTTCAAAGACCACCACCAGCACCTCAGCCAGACCAATATGCATTGCTTAAAGCCAATTGAAGGGATAAGGAAAAGTCCTAGCCAGCTCTGTACCTGTCAATGCATGGAAATAGGGTCAGGCACAGCCAAAATGGAGAGACTGCTCTTCTTCCCAGGAGCGACACTCAGGTGGTCCTCCTCAAGTAGCATGTAGGGACTGAATGACAAGCTAGAATTTCAACCTCAGAGGCAGCTTTGAGAAGCTACACAAGTGAAGTCATTGTCTTTTGCAAAGCACCCACAGAGTGTGTTTTCCATAGTTGCTCAACCAAGGAAAAGTGTGCATGGGCAGCGAAGGCCCAACAAAAGGAATTATTTCTGGGATTATCTTGGCTTTTAAAAAGTGTTAAGTACTACTACAGGACAAAAAAATAGTATTACCTAGTGTTTCCATGTGATGTACTATTTTATGGACATGATTATTTACAAAGTAGCATTGAATAACATTTTAAGTTTTAGTTCTTCAAATACTTTTCACAGATATAAACCCTCCTACTGAAATAGAATACAAAGCTGCAATGTTACCTTAATTAAATGTTTTTAAAATATTGTAATCCTGTTTAAGTTAATGCTACAGGGCTGGCCAGATAACTCAGGGGACTAAAGTGCCTGCTTACACAGCCTCAGGGACCGGTGTTCAATCACCAGTATGCTATGTTGGCCCTGCCCCACCCTGGGGTGTGCTGAGATGGCAACAGAGGCTGGGCATGGCGGCGTGTGCCTGTAATCTCAGCTCTTGGGAGGCTGAAAACCGGAGGATCACTTCGAGTCCAATTTGTGTAGTGCAACTCTGCAGATCCCGAACTAAAGTACATTAAAAAAATTTTTTTGATGCAACATTTGGAGTGAAATGATATACTTTACCAGCACTTCTTAAACCTTACTTTGTAAATATTTTTAGGGTTTTATTTTGTGAGATTGCTGGTATTTGAACTGATCAGCCTCTTGAGGCCATTTTTAAATTTTGAGATAGTATCTCACTAAGTTCAGTGGCTCAGGATGGGAACAACTTTCCATCCTTCTGCTTCAACCCACTCAGAGTACTGGAATTACAGGTATCTGCCATCACACTCAGCTAATACATTTAGCTTAATTAGTGAAAAATAAATATGACCTTTACCATTTATTAAAATAAAAAGAAAGTGGCCAAAACTCAAGAACAAACTAATGAAAATGCAACTAGATGAACATTTGATTACATAATAATGGGCTTATACTCATTCTTAATGACAACTAATAATGTAAGTGGGATTTTCTACAACACACTGATGTTTGCTCAAAATACCTTCATGTATTTCTCAGTTTATTTCTGAGAGGGACTTAAACTCTAAATTCTTTGATTTTTCAACACATCTCTATGTGCTCTTTATGGTTCAGTATATTTTCTGATGAATAAAACTACTTTTTGTTTTGTTTTGATTTTTGAGACACATTCTATGGGTTAGCCCATTTAGCCCAGGCTAAATATGATACCAGTGAGCTTCCTGCTTCAGCTTCTAGAGTGCTGAGACTACAGGGATTTGCCACCATGCCTGGGTAATGAATAAAATTATTTGGCTGACAAACAAGTTATTGACATTTAGCTTAATATATTCTTTTGACACTTTAATATGATGAAATAGGCGCAATACCAGTTCTCTTCCTCATCAGTCTGCCCACTGCTCTGGCTGTATCAGAATTCTGTAACAGATACATCTTTATTTGTATATTTTAAGTATGAATGCCAAAACATTTCTCCAATGAATCTATTCTGATAAATCTCCAAAGTGTCATCTGAAACTGAATATTTAGAAAAATTTTCCTGCCAGTCATATGGCCAGTCACTGAGAATTCTTGCTCTTACTACAGTTGACTAGCAGGGCCAAAACACTGCCTGTGATCCTAGTATTTTCCTGGACCGACTCAAACTACTAGAGATATCCTTGTGGGATGTCACCACATGTTGGGAAATGGGGACAGAGCACTCCAGTCCTGACCTCTTGCATTCACACATGGCCAGCCGCTGTAGTGAGCTCAAGAAGGAGGAAGAAGAACAAAGTTAAGTATTCTGTGTTCTATTATTTACTGTTTGCACAGTGTTGGCTGAACCTTGACTACTTGAATTCCTTAGTAAAGCATGTCTTTACCTAACTCCTCTTGCTTAATATTTATCCCTTCTGTTTCTTTACTACTATATTGTGGTTACCTGGACATATGTAGTCAGTGTACAAATCTGCTACATATCTACGTCATTGTTTTAAGTGAGCAGAAAGGGATTTGTAAAGGTTGAGGAAATGTTCTGACAGGCACATCCCAGATTCCCCTCACAAAGTTCTGACTGCCGTGCCAGGGCTTCTGTTATGCAATGCTTTTCAGGCTTGAGGTCATTAACAAGCATCAAAAATTATAAAATTTACATAGTAGTGCAAATCCAAAACTTTCTTTTTTAATGAATTAGTATAGAATATAATACACTGGAGCACAATGTAGTTGGCAAATATACACATGATGTGTTTTTAGCTCTTTCTTTAAAACTTTTTTTAAACTTTAAAAAAAAATGTATTTAGTACAGGTTCTACAAGGGTCTACAGGGTCTCAATACACAGATCAGACTCAAAGTGATCCTCCTGTTTTCAGCCCCGAGCGCTGGGATGGCAGGCGTGTACCACCACACCCAGTCTCAACAGCTGTCTCAGCAGGTCCCGGGGGCAGGGCTGGCATGGCATTCCTGGAATCGAACATGGTCACTAGGCTCTGCCTAAGCAGGTGTTTTATTCCACTGAGCTATCTGGCTGGGCTGTTTTTTTGGGTTTTTTTGCAGACACTCATGTGCAAAAGGCTTGATTACTATGTAGTTTTTATGTCCAGAGTGGCTAATGTGCCCTTCATACACATTTTTGTTCAGCTTTTGTATTCATAAAATATTGTCAAATGTGCTATTCTTTAATGAGCTAAGAAAGTATTTTCCTGGCACTGATACTTTTAAAAAAAATTTATTTATTTATTTATTTTTGGCAGAACCAGGGATTGAACTCACGCACTTGCACTTGCCAGGGAAGTGCTTATTCTACTGAGCCATCTCCCTAGCCCACATTGATGCTTTTAAAATCTGTTAGAAGCCCAGAGTGATTTGGATACTATAATGACTGTGGGAAGAGGAAAACACAATTTGTAGGAAAGTTGAATAGAAAGGGAACTCTATTTCTTGCTTCCTTTTACTTTACAGTTCTACATCTCAAGTACC